CTAGCTAGTCCAGGTGCAAGTAGAAACACAACTCTGCCCTTGAGCCTGAGACCTGACAATTAAAGTAGCACAAATTATCTGATGGCTAAAATTTTCCAATTTCTTAATAAAGTCTTTTACTTTGCTTTTCTCTGTACTTGTAAGAGGAGCTGCACTTAGATTCTCCAAAACAGTTGATTTGATCTGGCCCATTTGGTAAGGAATGTCTGACAAAAGTGCACTGTCTGATTCCAATGCAGTGATTGCTGTAGAAATTGGCTTTAGAATCTTCAGGGACTTCTGCAGTTGAACTGAGAAGACATCCTCATCAAGTACAGTGCTTCTAACACTTCTGGGTACTTTAAGATCCTCCACTACTACTGTTTCTTGAAGGGCCTCTTTGTTTTTTAGAAAACTCTCAAAGGAGATTAATTCTCCACCCCATGGAGTTTTACTACAGACTTTCAGTGTCAGTATTTTATTCTCTGTGTTCTTTTTTTCTTGCCTCCTCTTAATGACAGCTGTGACTGTATGAGATTTTCCTTGTCAGATGACTTCTTTTGCCTTTCTTTGGCTCTTTTGGGGGAGTATCTTGCTTCATGTTATCATTAAAAGGCAGTGTGGCATAGACATGACTTCAAACTTTGGCTCTGTCATTTACTAGCAGTGTTGCCACGGGAAAGTCATTATGCCTCTCTGTGCTTCGCTTTCTCACCTTTAAAACAAGGAAGTTAAGGGGGTGTCCAGTTAGCTCAGTTGGTTAGAGCACACTGTTGAAACACCAAGGTCAAGGGTTTGGATCCCTACACCAGCCAGCTGCCTAAATAAATAAATAAATAAATATTTTTAAAAATAATAATAAAACAAGAAAGACTAATCATCTGGAAGCCTCTTTCATCTTTAAAAACTCTGTAACCTTAGAAACCAAGTATCCGACAAGTAAATGTTAAAATAATAAAAAAAAGTTTTTTTAAAAAACAAGAAAAGAAAGCAAATATCTGACATGCAATGTCCATTCTCTTATAGCAATATGTGGGTTTTTATCCACTTGTGATTCCTGGTGCTGTTTTTATGTTACTGGCATTGTCCATGAGCAAAGCAAATGCTTTACTGCTTCCTGTCTCCTGTTGGATGGCACATATTTTAGAACTGATGTATTCTGCCATGTAGCTGTTTTCTCCTTTTTCTGTGCTTTTGCTTGTGGTGTAAAGGAGGTAGCCGTACTGTCTTACAGTTTTAGAGTCCGTCTCCACTCCCATTTGGCCATCCATCTATAGTACTGCAAGGCCCCGCGCTCTGTCGATTCTTCTTTGCACAGATTCTATTACCCATTCACATTCTCTCACTAAAAGAGACTTGCTCAAAGAATGCTGCTGGGCAAATGGTATGACGGTCTTAGTAATTTGAAAACTTCCTGCAGTATGTGTTTTCCATTATTGACAATGGTGTTCCAAAAGAATATATGGCTCTGGTAAGAGTTTGGTCAATTTTTTCCTGCTCCTCAGGTGTCACCTGTGTACTAATGAAGCCATTGGGAGCACTTTGTATGCAGTGACTTGCACCTTTGTTGGCTCAGGGGTCCTGAACAGGCACCTCTTTATGGTAATACTGACGTTACAGAACCTGCAGCAGCAGGAGCACAGCATACATAGAACACTAGGAAACGTGCATGCTTTTTCTTCATCATGGGCCTCTTCTCCCACATTTAAAAAATTTCTGCATGGCATGTCCCAGATTCTGTTTCATTAAATGGAATTTTGAAATATGCCTAACAATTCAGCAGGTGACTTGCAGCATGCAATAGTTTCTACATGCTGGAAGTTGGCCTTACCATTTTGAAAGAGAGAAAGCCAGTGGAAAGAAACTTTGAAATAGAACTGCCTCTGGGTCAGCTGGAAACACTTTTCTAGTCGTCCAGCCTTTCTTCTCTCCTGAAACTAGGTTGGAGATTATGTGACAAAATCTTAGATTATGAGGAATTCATGTGTGACAGGTTGTGGGAACCACGCAGCTGAAAACCAGAATTCCTATTTATTAAGCAAGAGGCATACTCCTCTTCCTGGCTGTTTATAGATGTTAAGATCACACGGCCAGGAGGAATTGGATTTCTATATCTTTCTAGCTTCAGAACCTCTACATCTTCCCTAACTCATCTCTGTCTTGGGCCTTTTTGACCAATAAGTGCCATATTATTAATCTCTCTAGGAATTGATAGATATTGTCTACTTCAGGTTCACTCCACTGAGAAATGGTGAGGAGCAGTGCACCTTTTATTAAGAATAGAAATCAATAAAAGGAAACCCACAACAAAGCAAATACAGAATCTTTCTTCTCTCTCTCTGGAAGTCGGAAGTGATCTCTTGTTTGGCAGTTCTACCCTGTTTGTTCTTGAGTTTGAGGAAATACAAGGTATCAACTACATTAGGTAGTTGTAGAGGAAAATCATTCCACTGCATGATAAAGGTGAGTTATAATGAGTCCGTCATGTAAATCTCTCATCGTCCTATAAAAATTCAGAATCTATTGTTTAACCTGGTTTTTTTTTAGGTAGTTGTAGAGGAAAATCATTCCACTGCATGATAAAGGTGAGTTATAATGAGTCCGTCACGTAAATCTCTCATCGTCCTATAAAAATTCAGAATCTATTGTTTAACCTGGTTTTTTTTTAAATTCAGATTTAAATAATTTACATTTTGTCCCAGCCTTTCCCTCTGTAAAGGAGAACAACATACAAGTATATGAAACAATTAGAAAGTAATTATAACCCATCAGGAATTGGCTGTAAATGCGATAGCAATAGAGAATTAATCCACAAGTATTTATTGAACATCTACTGTATTCTCAACTATGCAGTATAGAGCAGAAGACGGGTCCTGCCCTTGGGTCATTTATGATCTGTTTGAGGAAGCTCCACGATGTGAAACAACAGTGCTGATGCATTATGAAACATAATGACATGGTAAACTGTGGAGCACACATGCAATGGAAGTTTGGAAGAGAGAAACTTCTCTGATGGATAGAATGGTAGGGATTTTAAGTCTTGAGCTGGAAGGAGAGAGAAACTATGAATAAGGGAGAAGAAAAGGTCATGGCAACAGCACAGGAGTTTTACAACACACAAGCCAGTGAAAACAGTCCAACTAAACCAGGAGGAGTGAGAATCAGACCTGAGAAAGTTGGGTGGAGTGAGTACCTGGGAGGCTTTGAAAGCCTGCAAAGTTTCAGTTCAAACTGTAGATTACAGGGAATTTATGATGGTTTTTACAAGGAAAGCGGTGTGATGAAAGCAATGTTCCATGAGGACTAACCAAGCAGCGACATTTGGGTTAGACAAGAAAGAGAAGAATGTGGAAGTAGGGGATACAAGAAAAAAAAAATCCAACTGTTGTGGCAAACCAAGGACAGGTGCTTAGGAGCTGAGCTGTGAAGGTGCTGGAAGAACTTGAAATAGGGCGGATTTAACAGATATTGCTAAGGAGAATTAACAGCACTCGGTGACTGACTTCATATAGAGGAGGAGAAAGAAGGCTATGAAGAAGGGCTCCAAAGTTTCTGACCGTATGGTCTTCAAGAGAACTTCAGTAGAACTGATTTGGGGGGAAGATGAATCTGCTCTTTTTCCTGTTAGGTTTGAGGTGACAGTAGGACAGCTAATGAGAATGTTCAGCAGGCAGCTGGAAATGCAAAAACCTGAGCGGTACCTGTGTATACTTAGGGAAGGATGAATTGCTCAGATGTGTCAAGGTAGGGGTAAGGAAACTCATACATCTCAGGAATGTAGGAGATGAGTTCATCTTCAGGGAGGGGTGGCAAAGAGAGAGAGATGCTTTGGAATAGCCATCAGGAGGATGATGACTAGGGCCCAAGTGATGAAAAGAAAATGAACCAGGCCAGGTATGCATGGTTCTGTGACTTCCCCCAGACACACCTTGCCTTCCCAGGGTTGGACAGAGACATTAGAGTGGTAGAGTGGCACTAACTGGCGAGGAGGAGAAGGGGAATCTGCAGGGGATAAATGGGGACCAGAAGATCCAGAAGAGAATAAAGCAGTGTCTAGGATTGGGAGTATGGAAGAGGCGAAAAGACAAATTATTGTTCTTAGAGATTGGAGCATGCTAAATTGCAAAGAGAGGTAGCAATGGAGGGGCAGGCAAGGAAGGGAGGTGAATTGTGGGCAGCTGTATTCCAGCAGAAGTCTGTGGACCAGGGGTATCTCCCCAATATTGACTTGCTTTGCCTCCACTCCAGGACCCGGCTAAGGAAAGCACTGCCTCCCACCCTCCAGGCTCTAGCTTATAGAGGCCTCCAGAGACAGAAGTCCAGAAGCTGGCAGGGGGGAGCAGATTTTGCTCATTGATCTGATCCACTTGCATGTTGGCTCAGAGATCCTGATTCACTTCAGGGATGTTTTGTGTCACTTAAATGCCATAAACACTAACAGCAAAATGGCCCACTGGCTGCCCCCTGCTCTCCACACCTGCCAGGTCCAGCACCTGCAGCTCCACTTGGAGAGGATAAGGAATACACATCAGCCCCTATAGGGGTGGTGGTGGTATGTCCTCCAAGCCTGAAGGAAAGATGGTATGTTAGGGAGAGGAGAGGTAAGCAAGATGACAGAGGTCCATTTGGCAACTGGAGAGACCACAGCTGAATATCTTGCTGAGAAGCAGGAGTAAAACCAGGTCAGCTCTCTCCCATTTCCATCTGGGTTTGGAATACAGAGACATGGGCAAAGGCAGACACACACACACGCAAATGCACAGAGAGACACAAAGAGCTACACAGAACAAGGGTGCATACACACAGCTGATGGTAGACACAGACATTTAGGTAACAAGCTTAGACACACGAGAAGGCACATCCGGACCTGCTCGTTCAGGTACAGGGCTGCATACGTCCCCCACACGTCTGCTTAGAGCTCTTTTCTCTCCAAGAGCTTCCTTCCCATGGAGTACCCTAGTGTGAGTAGAGTCAGGCCCCTCTCTTCCAGGCCTCACCCCTTCCCCTTTGTGTTTTTCCAGGTCGTGACATGGCGAGCACCACTCTGCCTGGTTACCCCCCTCACGTGCCCCCCACTGGCCAGGGAAGCTACCCCACCTCCACCCTGGCAGGAATGGTGCCTGGTAGGTGACAATGTTGCAGCTGCCTATTCTAGGTGGGGGCAACTAAATTGTGGGTGAGCTGCTGAGAGGTCTGTAGTCTGAGGCTGGGGTGGGCGGAGACCCAACATCCCCTCTCTGCAAAATACCAGCTATTCTGTCCCTCTCTCTCCCTAGAGGCTGCAGTTGGTCCCTCATCCTCCCACATCCTTCCCAGGGAGGAAGCTTACAGAAGCGCCCCCTTGTGTGCAACTCACTGTATGTCATGGCCCCTCCACACCCACCTACCCACCCAAGCCTGTGCCTAAGGAGCACTCAGCCTCAGCTCCGCCCTCAGTGCCCCAGCCCACCCCAGACAGCTGACACTGCTTGAAGAGCCTGCCCTGGTTTCCATGGAAACTTGGAGCCAAGAACCATTTCCAGGGGCATGTCAGTCACTCAGACAAAACCACCCTGGTCCACACCAAGCCATGGGGGAAGACCAATATGGAGAAGCAACTCCAATTCAGAGAGGAGGGAGCTAGTCCCTAAACGTAAGGAAGGACTATGGCAGGAACCGGAGAGACTTTGGCTTCAGAGAGACAAGCTAGAATACCCCACATCTCCTCAGAGGAACCCAGGCCCTCATTGCTCCTCCAGGGCTCTGGCCCATCCCTTGCCTGGCAGGAGTTGGGTTTGGGCTGTGTGGGTCAGAGAGGCAGAGCTTGATTTAGGTCTGATGATTGTAGTGGAGGTTGTGCTACCCCCAAAACCTCACCCCAGATTGAAAGCAGGGCTTGAAGCCAAAGAGTCCAAGTTCCTTTTTGCATAAACACCAAAAAGCTTTTGTCTTAAAAATGGTAAGACTCACTTGGCCTCCAACCCACTCCGTCTGCCACTGTCTTATGTGTCCTTTCCCTGAAGCCCAACTCTCCTCGATGGCAGGAGAGGGGGAGGATAGAGAAGGGTGACTGGCCCCACCCATCCAGGGACAGCCCTGGGTATGCAGAGCTTGGGGTGGGAACCATGGCAAAGAGGGCGATTGCTGCAGGGTGTTATGGAATAGGGGCTGCAGGGAGCTAGAGGTGGGGGTGAAGGGATTCCTGCCAAGTTTCGGGGAGGGGAAATAGAAGCATTGTTGGGGCAAGGAGATTCTTTGGGAGAAGGTCGCAGCAGAGAGCTGGAGGATGTGGAGGCTGGAGGATTGAGGATGTCTTAGAGAGGTGGGGGTGAGGGAAGAGTGGGGAGGTGGGGATGAGGGGAGCCGCAGAGAGCTCATGGTGGCAAGGGGGGAGTCGTTAAACAGAATCTAGTGCTGATGAGGAAATTACACTTGTTTCATTAGCGATGGGGAAGGAGATAGCTCAGTTCCTCTTGGTCACAGTTGAGCTCAGAAGCTCATTATCCTGCTGCACGCATGCTTTCCCTCCTCGTCAATAAACAGGCTTTCCAGTGGCTGCATCCCCCACCCCCACCCCGGCTCCCTCTCCGAGAGGGGCCCCTTCTCCTCTACTTAACCCGCGGTTAGGGATCACTGTAAACAGTCTGGGGTCATCACACAGGAGAAAGGGCGAGGGGGAAACCCGGAGGCCTGGCCTTTCTCCCGCGGAGGGAGGGAGGCAGCTTCCGACGGCTCCCAGTCCACGGGGCCCTCCGCTCACCGCTCGCCAACCAGCGGGCAGTCCGCCTGGTTCCCTCCGCCTCCTGCCCCTGCCACGGGGCCATCTACCCAACCTCTTAAGGGAAAGACGGGAGGGGGTGTTCCCCAGCAGAGCCCCAACCCCTTGCACTGGCACCGCGCTGAGATGCCATTCTTATAACTTTCTGGGACAAAGTGTCCCAAGAGCCTTTTGTCGCCACCCTTCCACGCTTCCACCCTGTGGGCTATGGCACCTAGAACCGCAGTATCCACTAATAAAGGCCCTTGGGCCTCAACGCAGTGGGGTGTGTGGGCCCGGATCCAGAAAAAAAAACCTTCCTGGTGGCCCCGAGCACCTCCGTTGCGGAACCCCGGGCGGGCACCCTGTCCCGGCTCCGTCCACGCGGGCGTGCGAGGCGCGTCGGTGCTTCCCAGCTCCCCCGAGCTCTCGCCACGCGGATCCCGTGGATTGCCCCACCTCCGCCCAGTCCGCGCTCCCGCACCCGCCGTTGCCCTCTCCGCGACACCTGCACCTTGAGAGGATGGGAGGACTGGGGGGACTGGGAGGACTAGGGGAAGCCGCTGGCCGGGCTCGTCGGTCCGCCCCGGCGTGCGCGTGCCTGATCCTCTCTCCGCCACCCTCTTGCAGGAAGCGAGTTCTCCGGCAACCCGTACAGCCACCCCCAGTACACCGCCTACAACGAGGCTTGGAGATTCAGCAACCCCGCCTTACTAAGTGAGTACGCCACCTGGCTGGCCGGCGACCCAGCGCGCCCGCCCGCTTGCCCGCCAGCTCGGCCGTGCAGTTTCCGACCTCTGGATGCGCGGCGGGGCCGGGGGCCAAGCTCGTTAGTGCAGCACTGAAGCCCGGGGATCCCTCGAGGACGCCCGCGCCGCCCCCACCTCCCAGGGTCGTTGGAAGCCTCTGCGCCGCCCTCGCCCGCGGACCCCCTGGAGGGTGTGCAGCCAGGCGTCACTGATCGGGTCCCTCTCCCACCCCGTGAACGCAGAGCGCTCTGAGGGGGAACGGCCCTGCGGCCCAGCCAGGGTCTCCCCGCCCGGATCCCGCCGGACCCCAGACCCGGGGAGGTCTTTTCTTTGCTTTTCTTTCCGTTTTTGTTCTGTTTGTCCTCTCACCCAGCCCATTCTTCTCCTGTGTTAACTTCCAGGTTCCCCTTATTATTATAGTGCCGCCCCCCGGGGCTCCGCCCCTGCCGCTGCTGCCGCTGCCTATGACCGCCACTAGTTACCGCGGGGACCACATCAAGCTTCAGGCCGACAGCTTCGGCCTCCACATCGTCCCCGTCTGACCGCCCACCCCGGAGGGAGGGAGGACCGACGCGACGCGATGCCTCCTGGCCACCGCCCCAGCCCCACACTCATCCCAGGACCCCCGCAGCCCTTCACGTCACCCCGTCAAAGCCCCGACAGGACGGGTGGAGCCGCGGGCGGGACCCT